TTAGTCTCTTTTCTGTGTATCTTGGAAATGGGGATGATACTATTGCTTTTAAAGACGAGAAAATAGAAAACTCTTGGTTACAAAAAAGTTTAGTTATAGAAAGTTTGGTTACAAAAAGTTACAAAATAAAACGTCTTTTAGAGAAGTACTAAATAGGCTATATTATATAGTTGCATGATTGAAACTTATTTATTGTTATGTTCACTGGCTTATAAACAGTCTTTCGATATAAAAATAGACATCTTTTGGTCGGACTGAAAGAGCTCGAGCTTGTATAATTAAAAGATGATGTCTGATAGTATGAGTGATATTTCATGATTCATTATCGCAAATGTAAATTAATAATGTATTTATGTATGAGAATAATTAAAGATCACTGTTGCTATGTGAAAAATGCCTACAGGTATAAAAACGTTTATTTATCGTACTTGATAGTATTACCTCATCGTCTAACTTGACAGGATATCTACTTTACGCTTTGACTGGTTAATCTAATACATCTTTTCAATAATATAATTCTTAGAACCACCGTCAAAATGTCATCAAAAACTTTGTTCTCGATAAACAAAAAGAAAAAGATCAAAATGTTTTCGTGACTAGTGACACGGAACATTAGAGAGGTAAAAAAAGAAATTAATTAAGTGGTATCGATCTTTAACACCTACATCCTGTTCAGTTCAATTACGTCTAGGACTGTATCGAAGCGGTTAGGATTGGGAGAGGGGGCGACGTTTTTTTTTTACGGAGGCCGCTATCAAAATCGTACAGAACGTAAGAAAAATTTTCAGCTCCAATGGAGAAAAAACGAACTAAATTTTTCAGGATTTGAGGAACATCCCCACACCCTGTCACTGGTGGAAACAGCCCTGACTGCGTCTGTAAAATGACAGAATCGTATGTTTTTACACATTTTTTTAATGACTTTTGAAATTTATATAAATTACTTTTTTCTTAATACTAGTCGAATAAAGACAGTATTGCCAAATAATACTTTGTATTTTAATGCAATTATTTCTTTTCTATCTAGCACAAAAATAGATTTTAATTTACTGTTATATTTTTTCTTTTCGAAAATAATAAAGATTGAGTTCTCAAGACTCCATGTTTTTATTCCTGAATCGATATTTGGCTTCGCTAATTAATGTGACAAAAGATTGCACGAATACAATGTATATACATCTTGTTTTGTCATGAAAGACGTATATTTTTTTAATTTATTTTTAACAATAAATAAACTACAATGTCTTGAAATTTGAAATGATTAAATTGTCGTTATGTCATTAATATTACATTCAAAATATATATATGGCTTGAAAACATTTGAGCACTTTAAACCCACATCGATTTCAATTGTATTTCAGGTGTTAAAACATGTAACCAACTATTTAATGTTTTATAAAAACAAAAATTGTCTTTTTCTATTTTGAGGTTTCAATGTCATGTAATTAAACGTGCGTAATCATAATAAAAGCATTTCTTCGCTTTTCCGTTTATTTTCTTCTTCTATTGACCACATGACGATTCATTTTTTTTTGTGTGCGTGTGTGTGAAAAAGAAAAAGGTGTAATACTATGTAGAAAAAAAAAGAAGAGTTTTCTTTATTTTTACAGCTGAGCCTATTTTTCATGACTATATGAAGGAGTTATTTATGTTTTTCTATTTCCGAAAACATAATATATTTGTATCTTTATGCAACGTTCTACATCACTTTAGTTACCTTTGAATTAAATTTTTGTTTTCTTTTCATATTTCTTGCACATACCAACCATGTTTGTGTGAGAAAAAAAAAAGAAAGAAACTAAATTGACCCGGGAATGTTAAAATGTATTTTCTTTTTTAGTAATGATTACCTGTCTTTTAATGATATTTTGTCGTGTAATAAACAGACATATTTTTACTTTTACGTTCTAAACATACCAATCAAAATCAGTCACGAGAAACTGATAGACAATCACTTCGTTTTATTCTATCACACTATTTGTTTAATTTTAGTCTTAATTTGTAGAGATTGTAAGATTGAAGAATCAAATATCATGCTTTAGTCTACAAATAATTATGGGAAAAAGTGTTTGAGATAGATTAGAATTTTTGTAGGTATGTAAATAGAGCAATGCAAATAAATATAGGGCGTTATGTTTCGTTGAAAAAAAAAAGGTGAAAATTAGTTTATTGAATAAATCTATCTATAGCATTTTTAATAAAAAGCTAGGAAAAAAGCTGAAAAGATCCCGTAAAAAATGCAGAATGGATCCTGTATACTAAAATTTCGATAAAAATAGTAGAAATGATCCTGAATTTAGAAAAAAAATATTTTCGACAGAATTGATCCCGAAAAACTTTTTTCTTTCTGCGAACAAGAGAATTGATCCCGATTGATGTGTGATGCGAATGTAAAGACGGCGTTGAGACATAAACAATAACAATGTGTAGTGGTCACATCTTTTTCATACTTTTTTCACTCACATCACTTTTGACTATTACTATTACTATTAAACAAACTATGGCTCGAAAGACATGACTATTAGTTTTTACGTGTGTAAATGAAATTGATTTATTAAGTTTTATCAAAACTCAAGATGTCTGCAAAAATCGAACTGAACAATTCATTGGTGGTTTATCAATTACATATAAATGTTCACAGTACTGAAAATATCCACTATACGAGCGAGTATGAATTGAATATAGTATATAGAAATCAGCGAAGAGCTTTGAGAAAGAGGATCTTATGTGACCGCTACACACGTCAACCGGAATCAATTCTCTTGTTTGCAGAAAGAAAAAAGTTTTCCGGGATCAATTCTGCACAATAAATATAAAAATTAGTTTATTTTGGGATCAATTCTGTCGAAAATATTTTTTTCTAAATTCGGTATCATTTCTACTATTTTTATCGAAATCTTAGTATACGGACTCCGTTCTGCATGTTTTACGGGATCAAAACAATTACCGTCCAAAAAACTATACATTTCCAAAGTGAATATGATCATTTCATATCTTCCCACTAATACAAAGTCTTAATTATGATGTAAGTTGTTGAATGGAGAATTTATACATGTGTATTTATGAAGAATGTTTTTCTAAGATAAATTCTTGATACTCAAATACCAATAATTGATTATTTTATGCTTTATTTTCTTGAATGTTATTTTAAATTGAATTTTAAATTGACAAAACAACGTCATATTCTACACTAAATTTTTCTTTCTTCTGTCATGACGTCATGTTTATACAACAATTTTTTTTTGGCAAACAAACACATCAATTCATTCCAGAAACAGATCAAACCAAAAAAACAAATAAAAGCTATGTTTGAAGAAGAAGAAAAAAAAAAAGAAGAGAAATCAGGAAATAGAACAAAAGATCTTTTTTTGCCACATCAACCTGTGTGTTTCTATACGTTCGAAAAAAAAAAAAAACGTTTTTCGAAAAAAAGAAAGTTTTTTTTGGTTAGAAAAGAAAAAGAAAGAACAGACTTGTTTTTTCCTGACTGTTTAAAATAAATCACGTAATTTTTTTTTTCTTTTCTCTTCTTTTACAATGGTTTTTTTTTTCTTTTTTTGTTTTTATAAAAAATATTGTACCACGGGATTCATATCGACCGAAAGAACCACATCACATGTCAACATTAGGGGCGCCCCCTCCATTTTTTAAGTTCACCACAAAAATAATTTGTTTCTCAATTAATCCAGTTTTTTTTTGTCTTCTGTTTTTGGCTGCTAATGCCAGAAAACAAAACATACGAAGAAACATAAACGTGACAACGTGTATCACTTAAATAGCGCCGTTGTCAAAAAAGAAAAAAGAGAAGAAACGAAGAAGAAAAAAAAAATCCCAAAAATATTTAATAGAAATATCATGCGCGATTATATATATATCTACGTTGGTTAGTTTCTTTTTTTTTTAGGAAAATAAAAAAGTAGAAAAACACAAAAGAGGTTTTGGATAATGATCATGTTTTAACATCCACACAAGAGTAAAGTAGGATGATTTTTGTGTTTATACGAGTACTTTTGTCATATATACATACTATGAATCTATTTAATTGCTTCATCTATAAAAAAAAAAAAAAATAAAAAAAACTTATACATACATACATACACATAACAACAATAACGATAGATAGTAAAAAAAACAAAAACATGTTTTATCACATGCTTTGTTGACATATTACGCAATAGAGTTGTTTTTTCTCTATTGTCTAATAGTTGTAAATTCAATGATGAATAGTACTTTTAGCCAACATCTATATTAATAATAATGACAATAACGTCGTAAACATCGGTCAAGTATAAAATATATCGTACTCTCTATTGCATAGTAGATAAAAGAAGTATGTACACGATAATATATGAGTAGAGATGATTAAGAGTGGTACAAGAAGAGCAAAATAAACTTTATATTTATCAACAATCATATTATTATACGTCGAAGCAATTTTTGATGGTCTATAAATATCTGAAAAGTTGAATACAATTGTCCTGTATGATAATGGATTTTTTTAGTTTTTAATAAGATTATAACTTTTCAGTGTATAATGCGAGAATGGAACTAAATAAAAGTCTGTCTATACTTTAGAATAGCTAATTTTATAGAGTAAGTATCGAACAAAATTTGAGGAATCTTTGAGATGTGTCTCATTTCTTGTTCCATCGTTAGGATTGTTCTCGAAAGTTTTTTGAAAAGAAAATTCTCATTGTGATCGCTACGGAACAAGATATTTTTTTTGATTCTTTTTGTTTGTTTTATTAGTCATTTGAAAACTTTATTTAGATAGAAGGTCAATTTCACTCAGTTTTTATAATTTTGAAGAAATAATAATAATAAATCTTTTCGATATTTCTTATTTTAATGTTTCACTCCATTTTATCTATTTTTTATTTTGTAGAGGTCGAATAACATGATTAATCTGACCTAAACTATTATTTCTGTTATTTCTTAAATAGTCAACTTAATTCATTTTATTTTTATAAATTACTTTGTACATAAAATTCAAAACTGTAATGGCATACGAAAGACGATTATCGTCTGCAAGTGATTCATCCACTAGTACAGCACAATCAACAGAATCGACTAACGCAAACGAAAAGATCTCATCATTATCCAGTTATAAACGACAACTTATTCATCATCATCAAAGACATCATTATACCACCGCATTTACAACAAATGACTCAATAATTAAAGTTGAACAAAAACAACCATCAAATAAGAGTCTAACAACATCAACTTCATTGAAGCGTAATACTTCCTTATTAGCTTCACCAGCTGAACAATTACTTGCACGAACAAAAAATACATTTGTTGATTTGAATCCCTATTTTGAATGTTCATCATTACCCAAGTAGGTTTGAGAAAACATCAGTTGCATACTCAGATCCATGATTACGACTGTCGGAAACGGTCGTATCCGTCAAATTACGCTGTCATAATGTGACGTGTACCCGTGTTGTCGAAACCGTACCAAAACCACCGGTTAACTGCGGTTAACCGACCATTTTTCCGGTTAATTGTGAGGTTAACCGGAGGTTTTTCTGCTATGTTGCTATGGTTTCTGAAATAACCGCGATTAACCGCCGGTTTTGACGGTTAACGTGCGGTTTTGATAACATGGAGCTATAATATTTCGTCGTACTTTGATGTAAAACCCGGCCAACGTATTACGTCAGCCGTTACGACCATCGTATTTCAACGTAAACGACGTTGCTTACGATGGACGTAATACGCTGTCCGAGTTTACGTCAAAATACGACGAAATATTATAGTATACGGTCGTGAATTTTTTCACCTGGATATGTTAGTTTTCTTTTTCTAACTATATTATTTTTAATTTTAGTCATTGGAGAAAAAATAAATCGCTAAGGTTCATATTGAAACCAAAACCAAATATTGATATTAAATCCAATACACGTGTGATGATATTGGCAGGAAATGAATTTAATCCTTGTGCAAGTTTAAAAAATAATATTAGCTGGTTTCGAAATGGGCAAGCTGAATTCAATGACTTAAGATTTCTTGGCGCTAGTGGAAGAGGTAAGATTAAATGATAAATCATGTGAAAAAGTGAATCTCTTTTTTTTATTTTTAGGTAAAAAGTTTACTTTAGCTATTTTTGTTGATACAAATCCTCCTCAACAATGTACATATCGACGTGCAATTAAAATAACTGTTGATGGACCACGAAAGAAACGAGAACTCAGTATGCTGTATTGTTTTTTTTACTCAAATATAAATAAACTATTTATTAAAACTTTTGTTTTATAGAACACAAAGCAGATTCGAATTCAATTCAAGAGAAAGAAGATGAAGATTCTGATGGTGATTCAGAGCATGAGCGAATAGACATGCAAATGAAAACTCGTTCAATTTCACAAGGTTTATTTCTATTCTAATATAACTAAAATATTATTTTACTTCATTTATTTTTTATAACTTTTAGCGTCATCCGGTTTAATGATTTTAGCAGCGGCTGCTGAACAAAAACGGCAAGAAGTATTAAATGAAGAAGGTAATGGAGTTATTTTAAAAATTGATTATTAACTGAGCTATTTCTTTTCCTTTAGATGATAAAGATTATCATTCAAGTTCAATATCAACACCAATGGACATTTGTCCATCTAATTCAACAACCGGATATCAATATCAATCCGGTTCTGTTGATACTAGTTGTTCATCGCCATCCTCTTCGTTATCTTCTGTATTTGCAACATCGATTATGTTTTCTGATTTTGAGAGAATGAATTCACCAATAATGAATAAAACGATGAAAAACTCATTTCTAAACAACAACAACAACACAACTGTATATCCAGTTATGTCAAATGTAACAAATATGAATGGAATCGATCGTTTTAAAATTCAAAATGAATCATCATCGACGATCACAACTCCCATCACATCACAATTGACTTCAACGACAAATCTAATTCATCCTGTATTCACATTCTCATCAAAACTATTACCACCAACGGCCACCGAATACTATCATACACCTGACAATCCAGTAACTACTGTATTTGAACCATCATCAACATCACATGTGTTGTGTCGTTGATTTAAACTGCTGCCTAACAATGCGCAATATATCGACCGATAGCTCTAAGCAAAGCGAGAAAAAAATTTATCTTTTAATTTGATTCAAAGAGGAATGGACACCCTTTTATCGTGACAGGCACACGCAATGACCAAAAGGTACATATTTATAATACAAGAAAGAATATCGATCTGATTCAACAATAATTTACTCTTTTTTTCTTCAGAATGGCCACTTCTCTTTTTTTCATAATAGTAGTCAGATTTCTTCTTTCTTCGCAGTAAGCTGTTTAACTTTACTTATACTTTCAATCTCTAAATATCTTGTACGTAATGGTCATCTTGACAGAGTTTGATTACATTCCTGTTGACTGTAAATAATTTAAATCTATTTTCTGTTACAAGTAGCTGGTTTACTCCTATAATTGTCTAAAGACATTTCAAAGTGGTAATGGTTCTATTTTATTTATTTTATTGACATCATACGAAGTGCGATTAAGTCAAAAATATATGGAAGGAGAAAAGTGTTTGTAACTTGTTTACTGAATGCATTCAAGTGAGATGTGTGGAAGGAATGATGCTGATGAGAACAACACTTTCTACACTACAGAATTTCTTTTCTTTTTTCATGCTTTGACTGTCCTTTACAAAGACTATAAATATATATACACTTATGAGGATCTCATCGAGAGGTACCTGTTGCAAGTTTAACTTTTTATAGTGTGATGTAACGCATTCCAGCAAAAGGAAATAGCTTTTTTCTCTTAGTGTAGTTGCACAGTCTCAAAAACGAAAATTTTTTAGTACTAATTCTCAAATGAATGTTTGCACCGGTGAGAGAAACATTATAAATGTGCTCATTTGTGTTTTAGATATCTTAAAGGGCTAGTAAGATTAGAAGTTCGATTTTTGAGAGAAAAAGAGAGAAAAACTTTGGTTTTTTGCTGATATAGTGCGTTGATGGTATTTGTATGTATGTATTTATTTAAAAATGATAATACCTCGATAATTTGATCACAATCTCATTCATCTGATTTCGACGCTATCTAAGTTGGTCCGATTATTGAAGAAAAAAACGAGAAACCTTTTCATTTTTTGTTATAAGGCATAACTAAAAACTTGCTTTAGAAATGATAACTACCCTCTCCTCTTGTCTCTTGCATTTGGGAGTAAGTTTTACAATATCGGTGATTTTACTTTCCTTTTCTCGCTAGTAAAGAGTGGCGTGAAAATCCTGTACATATATGTATATATATTTCGTTCATGATCACATTTTGTAGGTATGGATGAATATTGTTTGAAATGAATTTTTTACAACATTAGTTAGCTCAGCAAAACTATCTTTTTATTTCTAATTTTATATGACTGTATGTGTCTGTTCTCCTTCTTATATATAAAAACAAACAAATAAAACTATTTGTAAATACGATACCATTTTTTCGTCCGGATAATAAGACATATTTTTCTACTATAATCTGTTGTTGTATTCATTTCTGTATCGCATGGAGCGAAATTCGAGCCAATGCATGTTTTCTCGAGTTTGAATGTTGTGTGTATGTGTGCGTGTGTGCGTATGCGTGTGTGTATGTGAACAGAGCTCTGCAGTCAGATTATTTCTTATATTTTGGGTTAGCTAACTACTTTTCGCTTCAAAAACTACAACAAATCCTATTCGTTTTCATTTGTGCAATACTGACATTATGTGCCGAAAGGAATTCATCTTCGATTGTACACTCGTCTCTGCTGATCATGTTTTACTTTCACTCTCTTTCATTCTTGTGTTCTATTCTTCTATTTGAACATACATCATGACCTAAGTTATGTCGTGTGTTCATAAAAAGAATAGAATTGTCATAATTTCACTGCCATTTTAAGAGTTCACTTGAGTGCAATAACAATAACAACATTTTCTCCTCTGTATATTTCTGCTTCTAGACCTTGTTCTTTGTTTATCAAGTGAAAAACCCGGTGTTCTTCCTTTTGAGTGTATTATCTGCTGGCAAACGCATATTCACCTGTTATTTTTAGTTTCTTCTTGTTTCTTTACATTGTGGGATCCGGTTATTGTATCTATTTTTAAAGCCATTCGTTTGTCATATTTTTTCTCATTGGACTTATTGTGAAGCTTGCGATTGTTAACGAAGAATTAGGGTGATTACATTCGAAAAATTATCACAAAGATTTTTTATCGCTTTGTTAAGGTAACATCATGATTACTGTTACAAGTAACTATATTTTGTACATAACACTTATATACATATATTTTGACTCGGTTTCAAAATTTTTATTGTTTATTTTTGTCTATATATTTTTTTGTAAATTTTTTCTTAAACAATCAAGGATAGACTACGTATCATGTTAAAACGGGATATATTCATATCCGAATGATAATCGACGATATATTTGACCTTCATAAAAAAACAACACCTATAGACTGAGCATTCATCTACATCTCTGTCTCATGGAGTCATGAAAAATCAAGAATTATTTTAGGGTTCATTCACCTGAAATATCCCATCATTACAGTACCCTGCTCTGCTTCACTTAAAAACCAGTCTAGTTATAAAGAGCTCGTCGAGCTACGATTTTACAACATGCTTTCCTTTTTTTCAACAAAGTCCTTAAGGTTTTTATTAAAGAGTGGGACAAGAACTACATTCTCTAAAACCTGAATGCTCCATGTAAGGTTCACGAGATATTGAACTTTTTTACCTGTCATGACCACCGTACAAACCGTTACGTCAAAAAAAAGGACTATGTGGCTAGTTAGGTATTAATGATAGTGGCACCATAGTAACAGCCTTAGTTGCCATATATTATTTGGAAAAGCCGCTTTTTATGATTATAATTGAACTCAGAATATAACAACACCTATAGAAAACTGGTTTTATCAAAATCCACGTTCAAAATAACGAAATAAAACTGAAATATATTTCATTTTTAAAAGTTTAATATCTAAGACGTTGTCTTATGTAGCTCGACGAGCTCTTTAAAACTAGACTGGTTTTAAGTGAAGCGGAAACAGTGTTGTAAATTGTGGAATATTTCAGATGGACTTATTCTTTACCCTTATATTATTCGAATCTCATTGTCAATTGTCAGACACTCATACTAGATTTAAAACTTCGTCAGAAAATGTTCAACCAATATAATAACTGACTGTTTTCTTTCCAAATCTATATATAAATTATCTAATGAGTATCTATCAGTTCTTCTCACACAAATAAAAAGGATATCTATTTTGTTCTGTAAATATTTTTTTATTTGCTTTTTTGAAAACAAATTGTGTACATATAAGCATAGTCTGTTCAAAGGAATGTCATTGTAAGGTTGAAGCACATCTTAATACTTGTGAGATTTATATTTTGTATATATATTTTTTTTTCAAACAAATTTATTTTCTATGTACTATATGTAATCATAAAGAAATTGTGGTTGACTATTTGTGTTTATGTGTGTGCGTATGTATATATACCAGCGTAATTCTAATTTAACTTGTTATTTTTGTTGTTTATTTTTTCTGATAAAATAAAGTTCTCTCGTTTTTTTTTGTGTGTATAACTCGACAGTTTTGTTTTTGAACAGCAACAAAGTTGCATTGTATATACTCTGGTTATTTCTTTTAAAGAAAATCCCGGTTTCAAGCTTCTTTTGTTTTTTTTTGGAGAAATGTGCGCTTATTGCGTGATGAATTGTGCAGTGGTCGAGTTGTTGTTTTTCTACTGTTGATAAAGAGATAGAAACAGTGATTTATTGACAAATATTTTTTAGTTTTCTTCTCTATTTTGCATCAATGAATTTTACAACTATGTACTTGTAATCAATATAGCCGAATAATATTTATCCAAAGAGATTATCGAAAAAAATTTGTTGGACAAAAACGTTGGTTTTATAATGGCACAATAGTCTAAAAGCTTTTGAAAACCTCAATATGATTTTGAAAAAGTGTTTGATTCTCTATGATTTTGTTTATTTTGCTAGTACAAAAATGTACTGCATTAAAGAGACTCCATCTATCGTATTGTGCATCTTTCTCTCTCTCGCTCTAAAAATGTCGATGAAAAGCGGAAGAAAGCAACAGCTGAGTGAACACTATATTAGATATGTTACCCATTCATAAACTGAATGTATTATTAAATAGACAATAAGAAATGTAGTAAAAAGAAAAAAAACAAAACGTTTTTATTTTTCTCCTCAAATTTAGATTCATTACACGTTGTGCTAGGAATATGTCTTATAAAAATCATTTTATTCGTCTTGCTATTTATAATCGATTTGCATTCAAAGAATTATTTTCAAAACTCAATGAATGTATATCGCTTGAAAATTATCATGCCGACAGCGGACTCTTTTTTCGTTCAATACATGGTACATTATGTCATTGTCTATTATCAAGTATACTATGGTACTCACGTATTGCTGAGCCTCTAGATATTGCTAAAAAATTTCCATTTGAAATTAATTCCTACTGGTCACGAACAGCCGAAGAATGGGAACAAGTTGTCAAAGATCGTGAAAAGTTACAAAACATGATAATCGAAGAATGTAACAGATGGATTGACTACGTAACACAACTAGAACCAGAACAATTGGATAAAACATTTAAATATCTTGATACAAAAAATGTTTCTTCTGAACGCGTGCGTGGTGAGGCATTAGATCACATTTTTAATCATAAAACTCATCACCGTGGTCAAATAACGGCAGCAATGACAAGATTTGGTGGACGTGATGCATCACCTGTTTTAGATTTAGCGTCGATGCCCACAACTGAAGAACATAAGACTTAAATATTCTGATAAAATTAGCTTGATTAAGAACATTTTGGAAAATAATCTATAAAATATGAATCCAAATTGATTCCAATTGTTGTGTGAACCGTTTTTTTGTCCTCGTTTTCTGTCATAGTGAGACAAAGCTGCTGTATTTTTCTCACTTAATGAAAAGTCAAATATATTTAGTTTTCGTGTAATCGCTGTACATAATTTGTCTTCGGAATTGAAATAAATCCATTCTGAACTGACTATCGTAATAATATCTGAGCGGATGTTCCTTGATATTTTTGATTTAACTGTCTTAGATACGGATCATTGAGAACACTAGCACGAGCGAATAGTAAATACACCATTGACACTATTCCATTCATACGACAACAGTTAATTATATCGGTATTCTGTGACCATGGGCGTAATCCAATTTGATTAACAGATAGCATTGGCCTTCTAGAATTCTTCAATACTTCTAAATGATCTACACCAAAATTACTGACTCCTGCAGATCGAACTCTTTCTTTCTGCTGCAGTTCTAACATTGTATCATAAGCAGAGGTGGTCTGTCCGGGAGACGTCTCCAATAATTGCAAAATTCATCATCATGCCAATTGCTTATTCATATGGAACATGACATACATAAAAAACATTTGCTGGAAAAGTGGTACGAAACTTATAAAAAGAGCGTTTAGAGACTTTTCCAGCCCATGTTCACATGCCTAGGCCAATGTGTTCACTATGCCTTAACCTATTTGTATCTCGTTGCTATATCAAAAAGTCTATAGCCAATATCAATTGCTGTTTTTACAATAGTTGCTGTTCGGTTATTTGCCACTGCTTAATATAAACCCAAGTCGAATACAGCCATGAAAATCCATCATTTAATCTGATACAGGGTGTGACTATTTGATAAAAATTTCTGTAGAAAATAAAATCAATAAAAGTTTGATGAATTTCTTAAAGTAGATGTAGATGGACTCAGGACTGACATCAACAATAACAAGTATTCTTCATAAACGTTTAAACTAGCATCAGAAGCTTTATATCTACTGTTAGCCCAACGTATAAATCATATGCATATGTATCATATGCGACTGTCAGATGAATGACCATGAACTCAAATGTCACATATGAAATGAGATATAGTAAGAAGAGTTTTTTTCAAAGTTTTGAACACATATTCATGTATTACTAAGACCAAAAACTGCATCAAGACCTATTTTTCATCATGCGTAGTGATTGGGCGCAACACATTAAAAACGTTAATTTTTTTCTTTACGTTCTCGAATGGTCACAACTTCGTATTATCATATCAGGTTAGTTATGTGTTCAACAGGTCATACAAAAACTTGAAATAGAGATTTATTCACTTTTTTCCTGAGTATATAGCCTATAGTGTCCTCTTCAAAATACAAGTCAAGCGAGCTCCTGATTTAACACCGTTTCACTGTGGCATCGAATTTCACAAAAGTCGCGGGATTCATATCTGGTAATGTTTGGTAACCTCAGAGTGGAGTGGAATATGGGTAATCGACCAGGATGAGTCTTATAATAATATTTTTTTGAGAAAAATTCTGAAAACATACTGAAATACTGAGTTTTATTAGAACTATCATTTTGATGGCTGTTTCCATCTGACATTAAAAGCTTTATATTTCACTCAAAACCAATGCAACTTTCATTTTTTTCTTATCTCTGATTTTTCTATTGATGTTCAGCATGTACACTAAGCACGCCGTCAGACACGGGTTCTGTGATTCGAGAAAATTCGATGCCATGCTGAAACGATGATAAATCAGGAGCTAGCTTGGCTTGTATTTTGAAGAGGACACTGCAGGCTATATACTCAGGAAAAGAATCAATGAATTTCTATTTCAAGTTTTAGGCTATGATCTGACTATCTAGAAATCTCCAAAACGTCTACTTTGTAAAATTTTAAATCAATTTTGCTCATTGAAAGACGCCTCCAAGTGTCCTCTTTCGAATGGTGACGTCCGCCGTCTAAATCTTTTCTATGAGAAGTTATTCAAAAAATATCCGAATCCACTCTTTTTTTACCATTAATCGTTAAAATATCATCAGCCACAAATCAGTACAATTTGCATTGCATTGTCTAACCTCCATTCACCAAGTCAAGCTAAATTGTTTTATTTAGTTGTACAACATTTGTTTTTATTTGTTTAAAACTTAAAATAAAACAACGCGAAAATAATATTTCTATAATTAAAACTATTCATAAACTTTTATTTATAATAAGGAAAACGCTGATGATTGGAAAACTTGTCTTCTAGATCAAGAGTATTGCGAAATCGAAATGCATCAATTAACTGAAATTCCGGATTTTCTTCTTCTTCATTACTGTTGATTGCTATTTTTCCATGACTAAATGAGTGTTTAACGTTATTTTTCATTGTTTGATTGTTAACCTGTTAAAGAGAAAAGACAAAATAAAAAGTAGAATCGTCATTTATTATAACCTACATACCAAAGAATCAAAAATTTTCAAATTATTCATTTGCGTTGTAAAAGAGTTTTGTTTTAATGACTCATCGTTTTGAACTGTCGATTTTTCAAAATTGATTGTTGTATTTAAAGACTCTTTAGAATCTTTTGTTCTACTTCCTTTGAGCTATACTTTAACAAAACTTCTATAATTCCCGTAGCAATTGAACATGCAAACGACGAAAATTTAGTAAAGAAACTTACGGGTATCATTGACTGCTGATTGGTTTTCTTATCTGGCTCATTTACTCTTAGATTTTCGCTAGATATCGATAGATCACTGCGACTGGCTGTTTTTTGTTGATCGCGTTCTGGCAATGTAGTCAAGGAGTTTTCTGAAGCCAACTGACTGTACAATTTAAAGCTTACGATATTTTCCGGTTTTGGTAATATATTATGATTAACTTTAACAAGCTGTTGTTGAAAATTATTTGTGTTCTGGCTAACTTTTATCCGATTGTTTTTTAAGAATGATTCTGTTAAGACTGCTGACTTTGTAGATAGTGATGATGGTTGTTGTCTCGTTTTACAATGGATATGTCTTAAATTATAATTTATTCCAACCGGTGTTTTCTGTTGTCGTTGTTTTATTTTACCAGCTAAATGTACAAATCGTTCAAGAAACTTGACACGATGCGTTTTTGCTAATTGTTTAAATTCATTTTGATAACGTTCGTAAAATGATGCCACATTGTCCAATAAATGTCTTGTCATTTGTTTAATAGAAATATTTAAACTTTCTGAAAAACGATCTTGAAATTCTTCGACAAGAGCGTGTACAACACGTCTGTCGATTGTGATAACGTTGTTGTCGTTGTTGCTGTTGTTGAAGATGAACCTGATTTAAATTTTGTTGATTTTTATTAAAATGCTCATTAATTCTAAATCAAAACATAAAAAGTAGTTTGTTCAACCGTTATGTAACAAGAGAAGAGAAACAATTCTATACAGATGATGGTTATAATTCTTATGAAAAGATCAGTAAATATCGTTAGATTCCTCTCTTCAACCGAATAAAGTTAATCAGAGACGCTGATTAACAAACATGTCTAATCTTTACAATGCTACTTTATCAAGCGAGAGAAACAGAATAGTTAATCGAGGCTTTTATTGAACTGTAATGCCATCTACTGTGACATCTCCCTAGTTTTAAGAAAGTATAAGGGCCGAAATGAGTTAATTAGTCCTGATATAAAGCTCCAAATCAATCCCGAACAGAACGGATCATATGTATTATCAACATATCACTGAACAGTTATTGATTTCATGAGATTATTAGTTCACCTGTACATTTTGCTTTTCTTTTTGTTCATTGGTATTACACCATGTTGTATTATCAACATGTCTAAACATCTTTTACACAACAATATGGACGAAATACGAGTACCATGTGTATTGGCTATAATCGTACATCTTTTACACAATAATTTTCTATAATCATGCATTATCAGCATATACTTCGTCTTCGATTCTAATTTCTTTTGAATATGACAATCGTACTGATAATTATTATTTTTTGGTAATATTGTTTTAATAGATGAACGATCTGATCGCTTTTTTTTTGTATTTTCGACATTTTGAAGACTAGACGATTTTAAATAACATGAATAACGTGTAAGAACATTCGGTAATATGGTTTGTTTTTTAATTTTAACATGGTCAATTAGTTTCATTCGTTTTATATTTGATGTAAAGGACGTTTTCTTTAAATGATCATTTTTAGCCATTGTGACTTTTGTTAAATTGGAATGATAACTATCGTCATTGTTGCGTATAATTGTTGTTTGAATACGTCTTACGCCTTTATCAGTTAATGATAGAGTTTTTTGTTGATGTGGTTTTGTATTGTGTTCTGATATGAGTTCATCAATCGTTGACATCGTACTTGCTTCACTCATACTACTTACAGCGATGATACTGGAACATCTTTCAATATCATTATCCGTTATTGTTGCTATTGAACCGGCATCAGCAAGAATAATACCTACATTTGTATTACATTCACCTCGATTGTTTGCTCGTTTAGCACTTTTTTGTCGATGAGTACTAAAATTATTATATTGTTTTCGTGAATTTTGTGCTCTTGTAATTGACGATAAATCGCCACATTGTGATTCGTCATCTAAGAGAAATAAATAAATAAATAATAAGTTAAGACTAGCTGATTAAATTACTTTATTCGAAGAATTAGTAAAATAAATACTGAGCAAGTTATACTGAAGCGATAGAGATTAGCATTTTCTTTATAAAAAGGTTATGCATCACATGTTCATTGGTATTCTCAACAAAAAGCATACAACTGCACGTGGTCAAAAACTATGTTCTACTTTGCAATAGTATGATTAAATTCTTAGCACAATATAAAATGAAGATCACTGGTAGTGTAGAAAAAAACAGGTAAAAGTAGATCCTAAGCAAATTTCTAGTTTAAACATACTGTTTTTGCTAGGTTATTTATAATGGAATGTAAATTATGATATACGTTGTATTGATGTTAGACAAAAACGTTTTTATTGGCAACATTACAAACGCCTAGTTCACTATCGTTAACATGATTTTAAGTTGAACAATAAATTTACTTTTGTAGTTTATCTCAAAGCTCATGTGTTCTAATTTTTATTCGTACCAAATAAAAGGACTAGATTGAAAATTCTTTTATAAAAAAAAATGTTTAATTGTTTCGTCCACTTACTTACTAACTATTCGATCTCTGCAATTTGATAATATTTTTCGATATCTGTTGTCATCGTATGCTGGGTCTTGGAATACTCTAGTCCAGAACAATTGATTATTCGATTTAGTTTTACCACTTATACAATAATTAGCTGTTTGTAAAAAGTGTGTATGATAGTGATGATTTTGATCAGAATCTCGTTGAATAGGCCATTGACCGATATTCTAAGAAAACGATAAAAAAACAAAATATTCCAAGGCAGATGAGACAAGTAAGTTTACAAACCATATTTGACTTTTGTGGTAATAAACAATACGTTTCTGTTTTAGACAATCGAAATACAGTATGCGGTTTGTTTGAAATGTAAACATTTCCTAAAATAAACATCGAAACAAAATAACGGTACTGGTAAGTAATGAATGAGGATACGTATTTGAATCATAAAATAGAAGAATTTTTTAAAACTTGTGAAGGGGAAAGTTCACGAATAAAAAATATTTTTTCTGAAAAATTTAAAGTTACATGAAAGTCATATATATAAGAGTTTACTATAGTGAGTTTACCAACGATCAATGTCATTCAAATATTGGAAAAATGCTATCCTAAGTTTATTACATCGTTGATGTTAACACAAAATTTGTTGGATCTCACAACAGATTTTCTAAAATCCACAGATGTTCAGGTAAAGTCATTTTTCTCTATACGAAAGTAATTTCAATCAAAACAAATAAAATGTTTAGAATCAATTGATAAAACTATATCGTACTATGTGGAAAATGATATACCCTTAACGAATATACTGCTGATTGTTATGGTTAGAGAATAGAGGTTTACACAGGCAAGGCAACTTTTTTCTGTTCATGAATAGACCGGATACTTTGTCTATGTGTTCACGGACAAAAGAAAAGTTTTATCTATGGGCAAAAATTAATAATTATGTACGTACATAAAAAAATGTTTACGTTTTATGCTTATCGATAGACAAATAACTGAAAACGAAATTTGTCCATGGACAAGTTCATCTGCTGCAGATCTCTACTAGAGGACGACAATTATCGATGAAAAAAGATGGATTAACAAAATAATTAATGTACACCTGCCATGACTAACACACACACTATGCCAGGAATCAGATAACGAGAGTAAATCTTTGGATTTTTGAACTTACCTGGACGTGCTGTATTAGTTGAACAAATTAATAATAGATTCTTGAGTAAATCATCGCTGACATGATGAAGCATTCACTATTAGTCCTGTTCTATCAAATAAAGCACCGAATTAAATCTTCTACAATTTGATTCAACCTCTAATAATTTATGAAATAATTATCACATCAATTAAAAGAGCTAGTTTTTGTCTCAAAGTTTTCCACCACAATTTTTGTAACATAAAGCCTCATCGAAAATATGGATTGTTAATATTATATTTAATAATATAACTAACTAATGCCATAACCACATTTACGGTGATCGTTAACGGCTGAATAAGCGCACAATCAAAAACGAGTATCGAGCCTTTATAATGATCCTGTTTGCAGATAATTGCATTTGTAGGATATAAACACATGATACAAAAAAAGCCTTGTGAAATTTAAGCATTTTCGAGGAGGTTCGTCCATTACCGTTATATACATAATCGTACTGAATGACTCGACATTTTCGCTGAATAGAACGAAAAAGAAAAAGAACCCCACCATATTTTATCACGTCACGGTACGAAAACGAAGTCCACAGTTTTCTTTTCTTAAAAAACAACTGAATTAAGTGGAACATTCACATTTGTACTATAGATCGATTTTAATTAGATTCAGTTAAAAAATGGCGGTAAGATAGGCTAAGGATAATCAATTTATCTTAATGATTCGTTTGTCGTTCTTCTTGTGTTCATTTAGGACCAAAAAAAGTTAAATTTTTTTGAAAGTTTTGCACTAAGCGGAGCTGCTGCTGTTATCTCAAAAACAGCAGCTGCACCAATTGAACGTGTCAAATTGCTTGTGCAAAATCAAGGTGAAATGTTAAAACAAGGCATTATTGATCGACCGTATAAGGGTATTATAGATTGTACAACAACAACATTTAGAAATGAAGGATTATTGCCATTTTGGCGTGGTAATCTTGCCAATTGTATACGTTATTTTCCTACGCAGGTAGACACGGTTTTATCATACAAAAAAATTTCCGCGACTGCTGACTCTGTTCTCGACTGCTTGAGTGTGATTCTGGAACGAACAATTGCCTCTTACTAATACACTTAAAAGCTGATACTTTGAGAGACTTTTGCTAATCTTCTGAATTAGTTTAAAAAAGAGGGAATAAACTAGCACTGTTAAGTTTTTCTTTTGGTTCTCTTGCGTTACATTTGTTCTCAATGGTGTTTTTTTTACTTAACTCTCGACGATTTCTATTTACTCATCGAAATGCTTTTTTTCTTTGGTTCAACCTAGTTTAATCTATATGTTTTCTTTGGGGTCTATTTAGGCATTAAATTTTGCATTCAAAGACCAAATTAAAATGGCATTTAAACAAAATAAAAATGATCCATATATGGTTAATTTTGGAAAAAATATTGCTAGTGGTGGTGTTGCTGGTGCAATGTCATTGTGCTTCGTTTATTCATTAGATTATGCTCGAACACGGCTGGCTAATGATGCTAAAAGTTCAAAAAAAGGTGGTGGTGTACGACAATATAATGGTTTAATTGATGTTTATAAGAAAACTTTAGCAACTGATGGTATTCAAGGATTATATCGTGGCTTTGTTATTTCATGTGTCGGTATTGTTATTTATCGTGGATGTTATTTTGGATTTTATGATACGTTAAAACCAATTTTATTGGGACCTGATGCCGGTGTTGCATTATCATTTTTATTAGGTTATGCTGTAACAGTCACTAGTGGTCTCATATCGTATCCTGTTGATACAATTCGTCGACGTATGATGATGACATCTGGACAAGCTGTGAAATATAAAGGTGCAGTAGATTGTTTCAATCAAATATTACGAACTGAAGGCACGATGTCATTATTCAAAGGCGCTGGCGCAAATATATTGAGAGGTATTGCCGGAGCTGGTGTGTTATCTGGATTTGATAAACTAGTACAAGTATACACTGGAATGAAAGTCGATATAAGTGCCGGCGGTTAAATATCAACATTGAACCAGTAATGAAGTTACCATCCATAGAAAACATATTTTCATCTTGCTTTTTTTTTTCATTGACTCTCTCAAGATATTAACACGTATACTCCTCTAGTACTTGTATCTCGTTGTCAGAATAGAACAGAAAAAGTCTTTCTCTAGAACATTATGTTGTGTGTTCCGCCAATGCTTGTGTGATCACCTATTAATATTAGTCTTTCTTCATTTTACGTGTGTGTATTACACAAATTCTTAGTCATTTTTAGAGAAAAAATTTGAAATCGTGCGTTTTTTGAATCAAATTTTTTGTACCATTAAAAAAACAAGGTCCTGATTGAGTGTAACAGGAAAAAATCGAATGATACTGTGATGTGATGTTTTTCTTCGATTTCTTCTCTTTTTGTTTTGTTTTCATCAGAACGTTCGTTCTTGATTGTTTTAAAATGTCTTAACCGTAATTTCCTATGTTTACAAAAGAAAGAAGAAGAAAAAGTACAAATACAATACATCTATTTGCTATTTATAAACGAAAATGTTGCTCCTTTAAAGTGGAAACGCAGTGATTTGGAGTGTTTATGTGCTTGCTTCATAGTGGTCCTCCTTTCCTTTCCTTCCTTTCTTTCCTCCTAAACAAGATTTTATTCTCGTTTTCATCTCTTTTTTTAGTAAAGAACGGAAAGAGTTGGCTGGTTTTAGAACAGTCGTTAATCAGCAGATTTCTTAAAGGCTTAGGGATCTTTAAACTATTCGCAAATCACTCACTCATGCTATGGAGCTAGTGTACAGAGAAACTGGCTAAAAAATAGATAGCAGCGAGTCATCAACAAAATTTGTACAGGAGCTGATCGTTATATTCCAAGTACTTTTCATACATTCAAAACAATTTCCTGTCGATCAGTCGTTATTCCACTATTCTGTTTGTTGGGTCAATATAGCTGCTATTCTCATGCTTGCAAAAAAAGCGGCGACTCGCTTATATTGGTAGAACAAAAAAGGGTCAGTTGTTTCAAACACATGAAGTAGAGGTGTGCAACACGATCCGTACCCGACCCAAAGGTTGGGTACGTCTACGAAGTTGTCGGGTATGGATTTCGGTAAATTTACGCAAAAACCGCAGGTTTTTAGTGGAAAAGCACAAAATTTTCGTGAAAAAATACAAGATTTTAGCTAAAATACATGAAATTTTAAAAGGGTTACTTGAGAACGTAATGATAACTTGACGTCTCCAGCCGAAAAATAAAAGGTTTTAGCTGGAAATCGAAAAGGAGAAACTTTTTAGGCAAAACTCGGGTACGGATCGGATACGTGTAAAAAAGAATTTGGTGTCGGGCACGGATCGGAAAACGGTATCCGTGCATATTTCTACCATGGAGTTTTCAAAGAAGGATGTCCACAAGCCTTCGGAAGTAGATACGAACATGGCTCTAGGTGTAAAAGTTATTTAGGTTACCGTAATCTGAAACATATCCTTGAACTACCATATAACTGTTAAAGTACAAACATTTTTGATAAACTAAAATATTATGTAATTTATACCATGTTTTAATTAATATAACTCCTACTTTGAATTAACAGCAAATGAATTAAATAATGTGTTTGGTTCTTATGTTGCAATACGTTCTTTTAAATCGAATGGAAATAGAACAAGTTTATAGCATGAAAAATAGTCAAGATACCTAAGAAGTTCCATCTTTTAAGCATTTTTTTATAGTATTCATATTCACAATCAAATCACTATAATGATTTAGTACAGTATGGATTTATATAGTTTTTGAACAAAGAGAAAGAACTATTCACTCACACCGTTGTGCCTCGATTGTCTTTTAGAGAATAAAACGTGAACATTTTGCCCTTTTTTTTAATTGGCAAGCCGGATTTATTTACCAAACAACACGAATTACACTTTCTATACGAAAAAATAGACACGATCCATACATGATTCTTTATAGAGTTTATAAACAATCATTTGCTTTATATTGTTCTTATCATTTTGCAAGTCACAATTTCGACTTTTGCTCCCAAATTGTGAAATATCAATACTTTCGCTGATCTTTCCCGTGTTGAACTTTCACCCTTCCCAACTAACTTTATCACGAGGTGCTAGAATACTGCAAATTTTCTTCAAATCAGCAATTAATACTGGTCGGTGTGTAATACCGAGGTTGAAATTACTGAGTGCCACAAAGCACTCTGTTCAAAGGGCCACAAGCTTTGTGAATCAAAAGGCGTATTAATAGTCTTTTAATTCAAGAGTTCACAGATCTGTAGACACGAACCACTACAGCCTGAGCACATTCCTTCAGATTTTGTTGTGCCTTTGATTAACTAAGAGAAAAATAATACGCTATTCTTTGTTCCGAAGAGAGAGAGTTTCTACATATACCGCAGTTATGATTTAGTAGTTTTGTGAAACAAACTAAGATTTGTTTAAGTAGTATTTAAGCTACATGTCTATTTTAAGTTCGACCTGAAACTTTTTGTGAAACACGCCTCTGAAGCGCATTCACATCCAGAGGTGTTAACCGCACCACCGACGTAGCAAATCTTTTGCAAAAGACCCGTATGCAGCCGCCGAACGTCAAAATTTCAAAAAAAATAAAAATAAAATAAACCCTACGCCCGCCATCAGTTGTAAATATCTTTTGCGTTCTTCACGCCGATGACGACGAAAAGTTTATCAGCTAACACCTCTATCCACATGAATCGTTCAATAGCAATGCAGTCTAATATTGAACAACTGATCGTAGGATTCTACATAGATATACCATATAAAATTAACAAAAGATTAACACGACAGTACTATCCATGTCGACGAAATCGCGGTATTTTTAACAATTAATCGCGATTCTTGAAAAATCGCAAATTAATTACGATTAATTGGCGATTTCGATGATTTTTTTAAAATTTTAAAATCGTCAATTAATTGGCATTAAGCGCACGATTAATCGTATAACTTTTCACGATTAATTGCCGATTTTTATGCGATTCTTAATAATGGATACGTGTAGTTAGATCTTTCTTTTAGAATATTTTTAAATTTCTGTGTAATAGTTAGAACAATTGCTTCATGGTAAATAGATTAATTTTTGATTTGAAATCAATAGGAGAACGAGAAATAAACTTAACTTCTATGATTCTAGATTAAGCATGTTTTCGGAGTACCGCCAGCGCCCTCACTGCTTCGATAGATGTTTCGTACAATCAATGATTTTTTATAATCTCAGTGATTGATCTGAACGGAACGGAAAAACAAAGTGTTCTACTGTTATTGTTTTTGTTGTTTATTTGTCTTACTGTAGCCATTAAAAAATTTGGCTGCTTGCATTGAAAACAAGTAATAGAAAAACATGAAAGTTGTCGAGAAAAAATGTAATATTATAAAACAGAATACTCTGTATCCATTACGTACAATTATATCCGCCTGGAAAAAATAGTTGCACTCGATTTTTTTAATATATCATCACTATAAAAATAATTATATATTCTGAAAGCGCTCGGAGTTCTCTATCACCCTGTATA